GTCCTCTAACTTCACAACTTAAAGTTCTAAAATCCTACAATAATTCAAGATTTTCAACGTTCACAACCTAAAGTTCTAAAATCCTACAAAAATTCAAGTTCTCTAAAGTTCACAACTTAATGTTCTAAAATCCTATAAAAAATCACGTTTTCTAAAGTTCACAACTTAAAGTTCTAAAATTCTAAAAAAAATTCAAGTTCTCTAGAGTTCACAACTTAAAGTTCTAAAATCCTACAATAATTCAAGATTGTTAACGTTTACAATCTTATAATGTTCTGAAATCCTACAATAATTTCAAGATTTCTAAAGTTTAAAACCTAAGGTTCTAAACTCCTACAATAACCCTACAATAATTTAAAATTTCTAAAGTTCAGAACCTAAAGTTCTAAAATCCTACAAAAACTCAAGTTCTCTAAAGTTCACAACTTAAAGTTCTAAAATCCTACAATAATTCAAGATTTCTAAAGTTCACAACTTCAAGTTCTAAAATCATACAATAATTCAAGTTTTCTAAAGTTCACAACTTCAAGTTATAAAATCCTACAATAATTCAAGATTTCTAAAGTTCTAAACTTTAAGTTCTAAAATCCTACAATAATTCAAGATTTCTAATGTTCACAACCTAAAGTTCTAAAATCCTACAAAAATTCAAGTTCATGTCTAATTTCTAAAATTTGTTCTATATAAACTTCAAATTCAATAATTCCTAAGTTCAAGAATTCAAGTAACCTAATTTCAACTTTCGTATACTAATCCAATATTTTTCTAACTTTAAAGTAATCTAAGTTTCATGTACAATCTAGTATTTTTCTAACTTCAACTTTCAAACTTACTAAATTCAAGAATTTCTAAGTTGAAAAATTCAACTAATCTAATTTCAACTTTCATATACTATCCAATATTTTTCTAACTCAAAGTAATCTAACTTTCATAGACAATTCAATGTTTTTCTAACTTCAACCGTCAAACATACTAAATTCAAGAATTTCAAAGTTGGAAAATGCAACTAATCTAACTTGTAACTTTAGAACTTCTAACTTCTAAATATTTGTTAGTTCTAACTTCTAATACTCAATTCACAATCATATTTAAAAAAACCCAAATTTAGAAGAAAACCCTGAAATAAAAAATCCCCAATTCTCTCCCTAACTAACAATAATCAAATATACAAATAAACAATTGAATAACACAATTCATCAAACTAAAACAATATACTAATTTATAACAAATCAAATGTGACTAGAATTGAAAAAAACTAAAATTGAACCCTAACCTTAACAAGCTAAGGAAAAAAGGCAGTGTGAACGACGGGTGGCGGTGCCGGCGACGAGACTAGTGCTAAGGGAGAGAGTGGCGACGTCGATGCTGACGTGAGGTGGCGTGGGGGCGGCGGTTGCGCAACGATTTGGTTTTAGAGAGAAGGGAGAGAAGAGAGAAGAGAGAGAAAAAGAGATGGGAAAATGGGGAAACCCTACTTTTGGCTCAACATAATTTTAAAAAAGTGACGAGCAACGTCTCTTTGTCCGTCGCTTTTAAAAAAATATTTGACCAAAAAGCTGCGGACTAAGAGACGTTGTCCGTCGCTTTTTAAAAATGTTTGACTAGATATTTTGACCAAAAATCGATGGACTAAGAGATGTTGTCCGTCGCTTTTTTAAAATGTTTGACTAGATATAGATTTCACGTATCAGGATACTTCTTCCAATTCTAAGTGCCAACGATCGTTAGTTAGTAATGTAACCCAACTAAGTGAGTAGGGGTCGAATCTCACATGGAGTGGTATGTGTTTGAGAATCAAGAGCCAAGTATGAATATGTTCAAGTCAATCATAGGTAATGACATTTACGAATAAAAGCATAGTTCAAATATGGGGGGTTCTGATTGTAATTATCAACTACAACAGCAATAAATAGCACGAATAAACAATTAATGAGTCAGGTTCTTGGGATGTGATTGGATTATAGGCTAAGGTAGACAAATGAGTAATTGCAATTGATAGTAAATAGCTGTAAATTAGTGAATAAGCTAGACTTTAGTGGGGATAAACTTTCTCTCGAACAATTTACCCCGAATCAAATTGGTTTCTCTCGAACACCAATAAACATCAATTAAGAACAACCTACGCTTTAGTCCATTCACTCTCTCGAGCTGAATGTGTAGAAAAGGGTTTAGGATTAACGCTCTCGAGTTGAACCCATAACAACCCAATACCCACATACCATCAAATCAGTAATCTTGGTTTTAAAACCTCTCTCTCGAGCAAGCCAAAAACATGAAAGTAGAGTTGCATTGCAACTACAACCTTTAAATAAAACCACAATTACTGATTGAAATCACTTTTAAATAGAATTTAAACTATCAATTAACAATACCCAGCAATTAAATCAACCCATAATCACACCCCAAGAATTGAAATTTTAGCTAGACATCATAAAAAGATAGAAATCGTTACCAAATTGTGTTTCCATCAACTGGGTAAGATTAATTTCGTCTTTACAAAGGTCCAAGTTGAAGAATCTCATAGACCCACTTTCGATTTCTCAAAAATGGAGAACTTCAATTCTTCAAAGCTAAGGAAAATATTGTCTCAATACTCTCAGTTCTAACTCAAAAATTACTCTAATGAATGCTTAGAATAAAATTTTTATTACTAAACATAAAGTTTGAAAATGTATTTATAGTCGCCAAAAATTGTGCTGCGAATGACCATTCGGTGCAATAAGTTGGGATCGCCGATCCACTCGGCGATCCGCCCTTTGATCAGTTCCATCGCCGTTTTGCTTTCAGCATCTTCAGGTTCTGTAACTTTGGACGATCTAGGACTGCATCGCGGAACTGTTCGGCGACACGCCAACTGCTCCTTTCTATATCCGACTTGAATTTCTCCTTTAGGGCTTTGCACACTGGAACTTTAGGCGAGATCATGGCCATTCGGTGACTCTACTACAAGAAAATAGGTCATTAACGAGAGGAAATTTGGTCGTTAAATGTCTAATTCTGGTCGCTATATGTCAATAACAACCGGAAAAAATTCGGTCATTGCCGGTCGTTAAAAGCCCCGACATTAAAAGTCAACGACCGGATTTTAGTTCTGTCGTTAAAATTATCCTTAACGACCACATAAATTCCGGTCGTTATATGTCCTTTTTAGCGACCGGTTCTCCCCTTAGTACATATACTTTAATGACCGAAATTCCTTTCGTTAATGGTATGTTAGTTTCTTACCAATACGTTTAACGACCAAGTTTTCCGTCGGTAATGGCCATTTCAATAGTTGATAAGCTATTTGTAAATGAGTTTTGAAGACCCCATTTTTATTTACTATTGTACAAAATTTATACTAGTGAATAATATTTGATTATTTCATACACAGAAACACCAAAACATATTTTTTAATAATTAACTTAATAAGCTTCATTGTCAATACAAATAACTAATTAAAGAAAGATAGATCATATTCAAGTTAGTATGATCTATCTTTATCAACACCAAAAAAGAGAATTTTCAGCATATCTAAATAATAAGACATCTTTAAACTACCCCGAATCAAATTGGTAAAAGAACTCTTGAACTTCAACTTGCTCTGTACTGTCGGAACATTAGATTCATATTGGAATTCTTGAGCTGTAAAAAAAGAAACTTATGTCAGTTTAACAAAAAAATCTCATAAAGAATAAACACAAAACCTCAATATATTTACCTAAAAGAATGCAAAACATTTAAGTTTCTAAAATACACGTGAATAATAACTTATAGTATGGCTGAATATAGCATATTTTCAGTTGTTTTTTTATATTATTATAATTCTCTCTAGAGTCTAATATGATATTGAAAAATAGTAATTAGGATATAGAGTTACTTTCTGCGAAGTCGTATATAATTTCTTAATTCATGAAGTTGGTTCACACAGGAGTTTTACTTTTTGAAGGGTATATGTTGTCAGTGACATGGTTCCAAAGTGTTTTACTATCACCATATATATCTGGAATGTTGAGTTCTAATTTTTTCCAGAACAGTTTGTTTGAGGTTCTAAGAAATAGATTACTAGAGCTATGAACATCATTCTTCGGTTATTTACTTCCTCGTCTACATAAGTGGAATCTGTGCTTGCTTTTGGAACTTATGTTGTAGATAGTAGACTCCTCAAATTCGCCAGGGGACTTGGAGAATGCCCCAACAATCTATGAGACTATCGACATGCATAGTGCATTTGGTGACTGGAAACGAATCCCAAAGAAATTGTCAAATAGAGAACTGGACTTCTGATAAATTACCCTACAACCACACATTTTTTCGAGAGGATGATATAAACTAATATATTACCGGGTGATAGCTAGTACAACTCAAAAGTTTCAAATAAAAATGGTTGTGATAAAATCTCCCATATCATTAATATGTATATATGCCTCTGAAAATTTATGCATGGATTAGTATGACTACATTTGATAGAAAATAAAACATCTTAACAAAAGTATAGAATTCTCTAAAACCAAAGATCTTTACAGATGAAGTTCATTAACATACAACTAGAAAGTGATTTCCTGGAGGCAGATTCTTGCCCTCTCTTTCAGCCATTTATAGGACTACTCTACAAAGATAGGTCAAGAAGAGATTACAAGCAAGTGCAGCTGCAGTGCAGCATGGCACCAGCAAGTGCAAGTGCAACTGCAGTGCAGCATGGCACCAAGTGCAGCTGCAGCAAGTAAAGCCACTTGTACCATGGCAACAAGTGCAGCTGCAGCAAGTAAAGCCACTTATACCATGGCAACAAGTGCAGCTGCTACAAGTTGCATTTTACTACTGATGTTTGCAGTGACAAGATGAGAATTTGTCTTGGAATCAACCCCACCAATCATGAAAATCCCATCTAAGTAGAATTCCTTAGCTATTTCAACATACTGCTCAATTTGGTCTAGGAAATCTAACATTAAAACCGAGAGACGTGGTTTTGGAAGTGGTCATGGCAGCCTAAGTTTCTTTCTTAAAATTGTTACCGCATGCGTGTCGGATCCTCCCAAAATACACTACTCTTGAAGGATCTTACACGCACCCGATGACATTTTTGAACAGTCCGAACAACATAGATGGCAGCCAAGGTAAAGCAGTTTGTACACCAACTTTGCTACTGGACATTTCATTGAACAACTTGCAACCTTTCAAAGTACCATCAAGAACAAATACACTTGAATACAGTGGAATAGACAAGTAATGTGATATATCTAAATCTATATCCAAGCTCTAGAACATAATGGATAGATGAATAGACACACCAGCATCAAATGGAAAATGAATGAAGCTGAAATTAAAAGGAAAGAAGATCGAATAAAAATATCTCATATTCAAATCCTTCGAGAGGAGGCTAAGGACACTCAAATTATTACCAACTGTTTGCTACTTTTTGTAGGTACAGCGAGGCAGAGTCATAGAGAATCTCTCCTTTCATTGGTTGTACGAGGCATTAATATTCTTAACCCTCATATCTGGAACAAGGCATCCCTATGTAAGTTACTATGGAATCTAAGTAGAAAAAAGGATGTGTTATGGATTCAATGGGTCCACATCTATTATGGTAGGGAAGCTCATTGTGGGGTAAGGAACCTAGACAAGCTACTTGGATTATACAGAAGATTTTGAAGATACAACAGTATATAGAGAAGACAGGGATGTGTGAATTAGAACTGACCCAAATGACCACATTCACTATTAAAAGAATGTATTATAAGCTACTATGAGAATATCCTAAACTACCATGGAGGAAAGTGATTTGTAACAATGTTGGATCTCCTAAATGGCTCTTCATTCTTTTCCTAGCGCTACATGGGAAACTATATATAAGAAACTGACTGATCATTGAGGGATGCAAGTGAGCTGTGAGTGACTGTGCGACACCAACCTGGAAAGTCCAGCAATCAAGAGAATATGGAGAAAACTTTTGATTTGGCTAGGAATAATGAGACCACCCTGATCATGGACTTAGGAAGTTCAATGGTGCATGAACTGGGAGAAAGACAAGGGGAACATGGCTATAATATATAGAGTCACACTTGTGGATGCTGTGTATTAGATATGGTTGGAAAGGAACAATAAAATATTCGAGCAAAGAAGGAGACAAGAGGCTTGCACAATGAAGAACATCATCTAAGAAGTACTAGTGAGAGGCAACATACATCCAATGATACAACAGTGTGCTGCTCAACTCAATAGATACTCGTGCTTCCTAGAGGGTTATTATAAGATTTAATTATAAGAAGTAGATAGATGAAGAGGTTTCATTCGCAGGCGGCGCATGTTTAGTTGAGGAACGAGTTTGTATTTATGTGTTTTACAAATGACATAAAACTTCAATAAGGAAATTTAAGAATACTCTAGGGGCATTATAAGGACAAATAAAAGTTTACTGCACTTTAAGTTTAAAAGAAAAGTAAGTCTTGTAAAAGGAGTTGGAAAAAACTCCTTTGGAAAAAGTCCGGCAGCAACTAGCTAAGGTGATAAACAATACTTACATCTGACCACCCCTCACTGCTCGATTAGTTAGTAACACCACCACCAATAACCCATAAATTAAAAAGAGTAATTAAACAAGATGCACCATAGAATCAAATTCATTAATACACGTAGAAAAGCAGAAACTTACCTTTGATGAGAAGAGCACTCTGAGAATGCATAATTTTTTTATCAAGCAGCAATTGACAAGAGCTAGACCAACAGATGAGCAATCTTGATGAGCGATAAGTGAAGAGTAGTGGCGAGAGAAGTCTGGAGTTCTTCTTTTAACACATGCCACGGCTGAATAAATTCCCAACTTTAAACAATCTACTCATTTTTCTCTTAAATATGTAATAATTAACAAAAGAAGATTTTGTATTAATCACATTATTATAGAGTAGAAGCTAAACACCTAAAGGCCTTAAACCAACGCTTCCTATCAGTTAGCAGTAAATAATGTAGCAGCAAGCCAACAATTGTTAGTAGCAACCAAGGCAACAGTAATCTAGGTGCAATAATACTTCTGTCCTAAGTTAAAGCAGGGAAGCAACATGTTGTATAATCTATATTTTTTAATAAACAACAGGTTGTAAGGAATAAGAAGCTATGCCATAAAGGCAAAAACAGAACTTACAATTATCCAGCAGCTAAGGCAAGGAGAAACAGATGTACACACGATACAATAGATAAGAAAATAGTAAACCATCTTATAAAAAGTGATGCGGTTGCCTTAGGGAAGAACTGGTGGACAGCAATGCATGAATTCAATCTAGTACCAGTTTAACCTTACAAGAAGGAAGATTCAGATTGAGAATAGATGCCACATGTGCAATAGAGCAGCAGAAACTCACAGCCATAGGTTTCTACAGTGCCTGGCTGCAGCAGGCTTATGAAACATGTTCCTCAGCCTTTTTGACTTCAGAAGGTTAATGCCTAACACTATCATGAAAATCTTTGAAGGCTTGAGCCGCTAGAAAGTTGACAGCACCATAAAAAAGATTTGAAAGTTAATACTTGCTGCCATGTTATGGACTATATGGAATTAAAGAAGTAGAAGATGTTTTGATGGCCTCTCAACTACACAAGTCATTCTCAAAGCTAATGTTTTTTGTATTTATACTTTACAACAACAATCCAGGTGCAAGTACTTTCCATTATAGACCATAATCATTACATTAAAACTTATGTGTATACTCATTTGGCTTAAATGGTGGCCTCAAAAACATAACTCCTTTAAGTTAAATGCGGATGGAGACCTTTGATGTTGTCTCCGACAGGGGAGGACCAGTAGGGGTTATACGAAATCATACAGGTATAACTTATATGAGATCAGACATTGTTTTTTGTTGCTGACAGCTTATTGTTTAGGAAAATGTATTTTGGGTTGCAGACACACTATTTTTGTTGCTGACAGCTTATTGTTTACGTTACTTGCCCACTTTCATGAACTTAAGCTTTCTTAATACACAACTTACACTCAGTAATCATCGAAATTGACGCTACACAGGTACTTGATCTTAGACATGCTCCTACGTCATAGTTTGGTCACATTCTACATGATAATGGCTGGATCCTCCACCAACTATCTAATAGGCTTGCAGTAGATTGGGTAAGACAACTTTAAGTGACGACATTTTGAATGGACTCTCTTCTTTGGGAGAAGCACCTCTTTTTGTCCAACCCACCGTCGCAGCTAACCAAAAGGCAATGCAACATAGAGAAATTTCTACCAGTGGGATCTTCTTGTCCCACTAATGTAGAACTGAACCATAATTCTAGTGTACTACTTTACTTTACTGTAGAATTATCAATGCAACACGGAACTCCCTGTACTCTTACCTAGTTTGACGATATGTTTAATCTTTTCAGTGGCAGCTTAAGTTTTTCCATGTCTTGAACCATAAGAAAACATAGAGAAAACCAGAAATGAGCAAATGAGTACACATAAAATATGACAAGCAGACGTTAAATGGTGTAGACCCAAAAAAAGTTATCAAACAGTGTTTTAGATTAATATTAACTGTTGAATTCTAATTAGTGCGGTAGCTTATGTATTTCAGTGTCTTGAACCACAAGAAAAAATAGAGAAAAATATAGATAAGCAAATCAGTACACATAATGTATAATGAGTAGACAATAACTGATGCAGACGATAAAAAGATGAAGCTGTCAAATCGTATTTTAGATTCGTGGTCTGATAGATTTTTATTAGTGCAGCAGATTAAGTTTTTCGGTGTGTTGAACTATAAAAAAATATAGAGAAAAGTATAAACGAGCAACTCAGTACATATAACATATGACAAGCAGATGTTAAGTGATGCAATAAAAAAAAGTAGCTATAAGTATTTGGATTCATGTTAACTGTCTGATTCTTATTAGTACAGAAGCTTAAGTTTTTCAGTGTCTTGAATCACAATATAAATGATTAAATAGAAACGAAAAATTAGTACACATAACATATGACAAGCAGACGTTAAATGATGCAGGTATTTGAATCATAAGAACTGTGGAGATTTTGTTATCAGAATTATCAGGTTAATAACTTAATCAATAATCATCATCATCACACTTTTTATTATTTCAATCAAGGTTACCATAAGAAGTGCTCAAAGCAGTACACATAACATATGACAATGGCAAAATATAATACAGCTTATCTATGTAAGTTCAAGAACACCAAAAAAGAAGAAAAACCTAAACGGAAACCTAAAATTTGAGAAAATACAAAATTTTAAAAAATTATTCATTCCACAAAGAAATTCATAGATATAATAACAAATTTTACCTTGAAGAGTTGGGAACTCCAACAACGCGTCCGAATATTATCAACCGCAGCAAGGTTACAAAGAGCAATAAGAAAAGGAAGTTGATTTTGTTGCTATGCTATCAAGCAGGGATACCAAAATTACCTTTTAGAAGATGGAGCACAGAGCCCTGAGTATCTATATCTGTTGATTCTCCTCTAACGAACCTAGAAGAGACGCAATGCTTTGCTTAATTTACTCTTACCAAACTTGGATAGAAGCAAGGGTTGTAGATTTTTCTATAAACATCACTCTATTTTCTATAACTGAAATGGAGAGAAGCTGTTCTTGCAAGGCTTCCTATGCTTCCTCTGCTTGCTGAATTCTCTAACAATCATAGAAAAAGACAAATGTGGAGTATATCAATAATGTTTTCTTCACAAAGGAGTGGGGTGGTGGAGAAACGTGTGTTGTTGAAAAATTGAAGAGGGTAAATTTATTAATGTAGCCCTCTTTTCTATTATTATTTATTAACAACTGGATACTAATTTTATTTACACTCTGATATTATCCTGTTGTGAAGGTTAAATGGAAAATTGACTTATAACGATGGAATAAAAATTGTGTCGCTATAAATATACCTTTAACGACCAGATTCATATCCCTTCGATATGAATTGGTCGTTAAAAGTATGATTTCTTGTAGTCATGGGTTAGGCGATCATCAGGCCTTCTTTTCTTCGTTCTTTCAGCTACCTTGTTCCTTTTTGCTCATTAGTGTCCATGATTTGTTCCTCAATCCAAATACCTAAACAATCAAGGATTTACATCAGTTATTGGCACAAAAGATGCATTTGAGGACACTAAATCTATTGAAATAAAGCCCTAAATGAGTCTAAATCGTGGATTTATCAACACCCCCAACTTAAACTTTTGTTTGTCCTCAAGTAAAACTCAAGTTCAACAACTCAAAAAGGATGTCTCAAACCGTGTTACACAAGACTCAATCATGAATGCACACAAAAAGACTCAACTTACTCATGCAATGATCAATTGTCCACTCAAAGATTCAAGTTGTGATTCACCATTACCAAAGAATCTCAAGCTCACAATACTTGCTTCAAATGCAAGTTCAAGCTCAACAAAGGTGTTCAAATGCCCTCACACAAAGGATGATTCCATATCCACACACAATGGTTCAACAATTTAAAGCTCTGAAATCAAATGCAACATTCACACTCACAAAGATGAACACAATGCATGACTCCACCCATAGGTTTGCCCGTATTTTCCAATCAACAATTGTTTCAGCTCACTCAAGATCAAAAAGGTCTTTTCAAGGCTTGTAACGGGGCTAAATGCAAATGTATGGTCATTTAGGCTCTGTGGATGCTATCCTCATGATATGTGGTATGAACAACACTTCCTTCCCTTTCCTTCATCATTCTCATTCATTCTCAAAAGTCGCCCCATTATTCACTTTCCATGGACATGTTGGATACCCCCATTTTCTTTGCACTTTCACAACTTTATTCCACAACTTTTTCATTCTTTTTCTCTTTTTTTTTGTATGGAGGGGTTCCATTTTTCTCAAAAATCTTGGCTCAAGGGGACTTCTTTGCATTTCTTGGTTTACTTTCTCTTTTCACCACACCCCCAACTTAGGCTTTTGGCCTAAGTGGCTATTCACAGAAACCACAAATCATGAGGATTATGGGTAATGGATTAAGAAAGGTCAAAATTTCATCAAGTTTCTTCTAAGAAAATGATAAGGCTCAAAGGGTGTTCAAGCAAGGATCACACACTCACAAGGCTGGCCACAAAAGAGGCATAATGTCAAATTGTTTTACACTCTTCAAAGTTGCCTAAGATCATTTCAAAAGATTGCATCACTTAGTCAACCGGACCAACGGGAAAAATTCTAGGTATCATCACACATGGTTCATGGTAAGCTCATCACACAAGGCATTGACACCAATGACAAACAAGACTCCACACTTTAGCTAGTGTGCAATGTTCATCACAAAAGATTCAATTTGATACTTGGCTAGTCACAACGAGATGCAAAAAGTTCACATATTATCTATGCAACTTAATTTAGCCTCATCGTAGCCGTACATTCATTTTTGTTCCATTATGAGCACTATTCAAGTCATCGGTATTAATCAAGACCGATACTCAAATTTGAAAGAGAACAACCACATTCAAATACAAACAAGAGGTGGCACAAATGTTTTCGAAGGGTCCAAAAATCATTTACAATTAAAACAAGGAGCCACAAACTCAATCATCCCCAAAAACAGTGCAAAACACAGTTATAGCTCAAAAACCCAAATATATAGACATAACAATAGTCACAAAAGGTGGGCCTCACCCCACCACAAATAAAAAACATTTGTCCTAAAATGCAAGCAAAATAATATCCAAAAGTCAAGAAAAAAATAAGACAGTGAGGGAGGTAAACAGGGATCCTATCTAAAGAGTCACTCCGTTTGTCTAGGCATCAGTGCTCGGTGCATCACTCTGGTACTGGGTCTCAGTACCCGGAGTCACATCTACAGTATCACCAGCGCCATTAGGGTCAGCCAAATGCGTATATGCTAATGAGGTCTGCACAACTGCATTGATCATGGCCTCCTCAGTCTCAGTAAGGCCCTCATAAGAAACCTCTTCAGCAACCCCAAGCATCTCCTCATTTTTCTCCGCCTCAAACTCGGGATCAACTGCCTCCCCAACACTAACATCATCTCAGGTGGTAGTCGGAGGCATATCTGGCTCTACTAGCACATCCGGGATATCCACCATCCCGAAGATCATGGACATGTCAGTGGACTTCAGCTGGTTCACATCTCTCCTCAGTGAAGCAATGGCAGCTTTTAGAACTGTCACCTCCTTGATGGCCCTTTGGCCACACTCACACACCGTTATCCTAGTCGCAAGGGCATCAATGGTAGCGCTCAATGGTGTCACAGCATCAGCCAGGGCTGTCTAAATCATGCCTGGAATGGAGGCCTCAAGTCTGGCAGCATGACGATCGGTAGAATGGGCTAGCTGCCCCATCCAGAGTAATGCATCCTGAGTGAGCCGGGTCTAGGAAATAGTAACAACAACAGCTCTGGGAGGCAACGCAGTAGCAGAGGAACTAGGGGTGTCAGAAGGGGCAGCAATGGAAGTACCTGAAGGCCCGGAGGGCGGAGTAGGGAAATGTGCCTCTGCAGGTAATGAGTTTGTGTCCACAACCGGGGAAAAGTCCACTGGGGATGCCTTCTTCTTCATCATCTCATCTTTTAAATACTCCGCCACGATTCTCCGGATATCAATAAAAGATGTGGGAATCACTTCCACATCTTTCTTTACATCTCTAGGAACCCGAGCCCATCTGCACAGCTCGATGATCAACATCGGGAAGGGAAGTGAGGTCTGGCACTGCTTGGCCCTCATATGCATCTCCTGCCCAACGATCATACCCAAATTTATGCACTCTCATGCAATGATCGAGCCAACCAAGCTGCCTTTCTGTGGCGAAGGACGAACTCATTTTGGGACGGCATGACAGTACTACTGATAAAACCAAACCAGTACCTCGCAGCTACATTGAGGTCTCTCTTCTCTATTGGATCCTCTGCCTCTAACCACCTCGGAGTACCATCACATATAAGAGGGGCGAGCCAACTTTTTATTCTCTCCAAACACTTAGTTTTCACCCTCTACTGGTGAGTGTCAGCAATGTTGTTGGTACACTCCAAAACCGCATTGATAGTAGTACTGTCACACAACACTTTCTTGCCCCAGACAACTATATAGTCAACTGGTTTGAATGCAGTTTCCTGCTTCTTTCTCTGCGGTATCAAGGCTCCATAAGCAACATAGAGCTCCCGGACCCAATTTGGAATATAAGAACCTCGGGGTATAGTGACCAACTGGAACTTATGTGACTTGAGGCAACTCATTATCTCTGGGTACCTATCAATGACCCCATCAGTGGACATACGCTTCTCCTCAATGATTGTCCTTATCCCCTCAGTCTTTAGTCTATTCATAGACTTGGGAGGAGGACCCTGTACTAGTGGTGCTAGGACCACTTCCTGTGCTGGAGCTGGAGGAGGAGTAGGGTTGGCCTGAGGAGTCCTCATCCTAGACAGATCGTTCAACCTTTTGGATTGTAGCTCAACCCTCTGTGCTGCTATCAGTTCATCATCCTTAGGCTCCGAAGCTGCAGCTTGATGCTCCTGATGCTCACCCTCACTCTCAGAAGTAGTGAGGTGAGTGGCACATATATCGTCACTGTCGGGCTGTCCTCCAGTGATGCAGGTGCCTTTCCTTTCTCACCAATTGTGGGAAGTTTAGTGGCCTTACCCCTGGATGCAGCTGCATTCTCATTGATAGTTATACCTTTGGCCCTCTTGCGGGGTGGCATGTATCTACCGGCAACTTTCGATCTAGCCATGTCTGCAAAAACATCATAAAGAGTTAGAAACAATTCAAACAAAAGCACAGAAAAGAAGTTGCAGACAGACTCGCCGAACAGGTCGGTGAGTCGCCGAATATCTTTGGCGAGCCAGATCGAGCTCGCAGAAAGGATTGGCTCAAGAATCCCAAAATTTTTTGGCCTGTCGGCGATGGGGAGGGCCTTTTGGCGAATCACCGACAACATTCGGCGAGCATGGCTTAGCCTGCCGAGAGTTACAGTGCAGTTAAGGTTCAGGGGTGATGACAATGGGCGAGCAAGGAAAACCTTCGGCGAGTCACCGAGTGCACTCGGCGAACTCAGTCTTCTCACCAAAAGTTACAGAACCTTTTTCATGTGTTAGCGTGAAATTAAAGGCGATATGGGGAACTACGGTGAGCTCGACCCAGCTTGCCAAACAACCTAACGTGCCTACTCTCAACCCAACTTCTCAAATTCAACCCCGCTGCCCCCAAAAACAAAATCAAAATATGCACTTCCACAATTAAACTGAGACCCAATTCACCCATGCCCTCGGGATACTCAGACTTCTCTCGGTTTGGCCAAATTTGGCCATTTGATGACTTTTGACCTTAAGAATTACGTCAACCGCTCCATCATTGGGCAAAATACGTTATTTGGCACAAATGCGGGCTATTTAGACTTCACCCAACTAAACCCAACAACATGCAAGCACAATTATCTTAGGCGTATTTATATGCCTAAGTTGTCAATATTTGCCCATGAATTGATTGAAGTAACGAATGATCTTGAGTCTATTAGCTTGATTTCGTTATACTTGCGATATTATGCACTAAAATAGATGATTAGAGGTTTTAGGAACTCTTAAGGAGATTGGAGTCAAATTTAAAGAAAAGATGCAAGGATATGCTGAAAAGAAGCTAAGGCTGAAGGCCCCAGGGCCAGGCGCACTGCTAGGCGCGAGGCTCCAAGGGACAACATTCAGAGAGGCCACTCAGGCGCTATGAGAGGTGCGACGCGTCAAGGCCCAACATTCTAGGGCCTTTCTCAGGCGCTACGAGA